TTATTCACCTAAATGTGTTTGATACACACAATTTTATTCCCTTTGTGAATGCATTTTCACTCATTACTGTTACTATACCTATTATATTTATTCGGATTTATGACTGAGAGGCTGCTAGCGCTGTACTCTACATCTTTTCAACTCATAGGGCTTATTGCCTTAGTTCAGCAGCTCTTAGCTTCTTTTTGGTCTTATATTATAGATATTATAAATATTAACTGATTTTTTGGATAATTAGTTTTTTTTGGATAATTTGTTTTTTGTTTAGTTTCATTGCCAATTAATAGATTAATGAATTGATGCTTTTCCATTAGCGCAGATTTCTGTTTACTAAAGGTTGCCTTTTGCCTGAATAGGGACTGGATTTCCCAGGAGGAAAGCACCAAAAGCAGAACATATAAAGTCCAGATTAATTTTTATTCAGATTTTTTTGTCATAAACATACAACACGTTTGGGTGGGAAATTGTGTACTAGAGTGATCAAATCGGAGAAATCCTGAGGGGTAATTAGTCAGATAATTGCTCCAGATGCTGATTAAATTTAACATGCATACAAAAACCAAGCCCTGATGAAGGGGGACCCTTTTTACCCCCAAAAATGTGTTGGATTTTTATGACATAAAAGTCTGAATAAAGTGAATCTGGACTTTATACATTCTGCTTTTGGAGCGTTCCTCCTAGCACAACCAGCAATATAAACCCAATAGAGGTTCCAACCATTGACAACTTAGTTTAAAAACAAAAAGCGACTGGAATTGTACTTTGTAAAAAAAATTAAGAAATAATATTTTTTTTCCTTATTGTTTGCTTTACAGAACTTCCCCTCCTTCAGAAGTCCGTACTGCAGATACAATTTTTTTTCCATATTATATTTTCATGAGTGTATGTTCTTATAATGTGGTTATGTTGAACTTTTGACACCAGCAATATTTCATTTTGAAAAAAACATTATAATTTAGAAGTTTGCAGTTGAACAATTTATCAGCTATAAACTATTTGTTTTAAGTTTAGTCAAAACTAGGTGTGTCCCACTGTTCATGGTGGATGTATATTTGGTTGTTTTGTTCCTATTACAAAAGCAAAGAATCAGCAGAATATGTGTGAACAACCTAAAAAAAAAGTTCTTCCTCAAATGTCACAATTGGTCTTTATATTAATAATTTCTGTTGAGGTTTTAGTGCAACTCCCTTTGACTACAGTGTGAAAATACTTTGTTTCAAGCAGATTCTAGAAAATTGTAAGTGAAGGTTGTGTCTGCTGCAGAATTTAAAAAGTCTATCTAAAGCGAAAACATTTTTATGTTTGTTGTGGCTAGAATATGGAAGGCTTATAATCCCTGTCAGGTTTTTTTGCTGTCCATGTTGGGGAGATTTACCCTCTTTATTTATCTTGATCTTTATCCTTTATTTATCCTGATAAGAAAATACCAGGAATTCCAAATGTCTCAAATTGTCACTGGATCAGAAGGTGAAGAAAAATGGGCACACTGGCCCTGGTGACAACTGTGTAAGGGGATTTCCCCTCACTTTGGAGAGATTTGCTCTCCTGATGCTTCTCCATGGCAGGAAGTAAAGGGAATCTCACAAGTGGGTTAGAGACAGCAGAAAAAAACAAAATGTGTTTTACATATTTCCTGCTGTATCCAAAAAAACAAACAAAAACAAACAAACGTTTTTTTAATGCTGTATGATATATATATATATATATATACTTTCTTTTTAAGCGGAACTGCAAGATTTTTTTGGAAAATGACATTGGTCCAGCTTGGCTCAAAGTGAGTATCCATCGCTGATATCCATAGGGCCTCTGGAGATACTGGAAATCACTGTAGTAGTTTGCACTACATTGTCTCTGCACACTAAAAACAGGGGGTCACTCACTCGGCGGCACCCCCACCATTTAGAGAACGCCGTGTATTTTTTGTTTAATGAACAGGGCGGCCGACACAGCTCGTCCTCGGTGCGGCTTCTCTCCTCCTCATCGCTGGCCATTCGACATGACAGCACTCCCTCCTCATTCGTTTCATCAAACAAAACAAATTTTTATGCCATTTTGGATTCAGCCATTGGCGTGTTCTGGCGTTATATAACACCACACGTGTTGGGCGCCGCCAGCTTGGTATATATCTAGGTATACACCAAGATGGTGGCGCCTATATTGGTGTGTGACGTCACCTGATGCCACGCACGCATGGCGTCATGTGACATCATACTCCCCGCCTCCAAGATGGTGGCACGCATTCGCAGAACGCGCCGGTGGCCAACATGGCCGCCACACATTCTCAAACAAATTATTATGTGCCCGAATGAATTTTTCGTATATTCGGGCAAATAGTAATTCATCAATTAAACATGTAGTCTGTGTTTTGTGTTCTGTTTTTTATTTTTACTTTTCTAGATGCACTTACTTGAAAAAAGGGGTCGCATGAAATCCTGATACTTTATTTTTCTAGACTCGATTTTAGTTTGACATTTATTGTTTACCACTTGTTATAGAGTTTTTTTTTGCCTTCCTCTGGATCAACAGGGGGTAATTGTGGGCATAGTGTTCTGTTTAGGCTTTTTTTTTTTTTTTCTCTATAGGTTGAACTCGATGGACTTGTGTCTTTGTTCAACCTGACTAACTATGTAACTATGTTTTACTGTAAACTCCATAACAAAGACTAGAGGCCATCATCAAAAATTGGTGGAGAAAAGATTTAATAACAAGGGGCGTAAGGGCTTTTTTTCAGTTAGAGCGGTTAAAGTCTGGAACTCACTGTCACAAGCAGTGGTATCAGCTGAGAGTATTGAATAATTAAAAATGGCATCTAGATACCTTCCTCAGAGACCGCAACATACAGGGATACAGGTGCTCTTAAAAACAGGATCACATGGGGACTCGTATACACACATACACATGCACAGTCACACACATACACACAAAGGTTGAACTTGATGGACATGTGTCTTTATTCAACCTCAAATACTATGTAACTATGTTTGTCTTCTGTTGTTTTATGTAATAAGAATACTTATATTGTGCCTACAAGTTTAATAGCTTTGAGTACAAGTTTTATTTTTATCATACTTTTTAATATGTTTCTTTGGGGCTTAACAAAATGGGAGTCTTTAAATGGTGCGGATATTGGGGGGAAATGGGTGTGGCCACTTAGGGGTGTGGTTACTGAGGGGTGGGGTCACTGACGGGCGCTGTGGAGCTTTCTCGCACAGGGCGCCTAAAGGCCTAAGGCCGGCCCTGTTAATGAATACAAGGCATTCTCTGATTGGACAAGGTGGAGAGGAGGGGCAAATTACTTTGCATTCTCCACCTTATCCAATCAGAGAACAAATTGTATACGCTGCAAAAAAACCAAGATCATGCCGAGTTCCGCTTTAACTACCTGTGTTTTTTTGAGTTCATGGGGCATATTAAAGTATAATCATTTAAAGTGATATTGAAGTCAAAGGGGGTTTAAAGCTATTTCAAACACTTATTCAATCACTAACAATGGATGCTGCTCCTTGATGTATAAAAATGTTAGTTTCCTGCAGAATCAGCTGGTCCCTGAACACTGGTTCTTATATCCTATTTTAGGGTGGCTCCTTCCCCGCAGGGTCCTATGGAGCCACCCTTTTGTGTGATATTAAGCTGTGTGTGTCTCCACAAACACACAGACACATCAATTCAAACCTCTCCCTCCTCCCCCTCCTCCTTCCTCTCTTTTACAAGCTAGTGGATGGAGAGATGCTGGAGACTGTGCTCTTCCTTGTGATAGTGTACTGGACAGGAAGTTCAGGGAAGCTGAGTTAGGAGAGTTGGAGTCAGCTGTTTGGAAACATGATGACTGAAGTGTTTGGGCAAACGTTTTGATGAAATACTTTGCTGGGACAGGCCGCTGCACATGTTTCTGTAGCTCCTCCCTCTCATTGTTCTGCTCATAGGCAGAGCAGACAGATGTAAACGAGCGCCTGTCATTGGAGCAGGCTGAGGCATACTGCACTAGTGCCTGACAGACCGACGCTCGTTTAGTTCTGTCTGCTCTGCCTCTGAGCAGTGCAATGAGAGGGAGGAGCTAATTTACATTGGGAGCCCGGCTGGGTCTGTTTTATTCCGTGCCTGCACTGGCAGATGGGGGGCTTGCAGGCTGAATTTGGGGCAGGCAGCTTTGGTCCCACTGCCCGGTAGGACCCCTGGTGTGCAGGAGCAGCACAAACATGTGCACTGAATCATTTTGAGCGCAGGAGACCGAGTTGCATGCAGTGTCTGACTGTGGCCCCTGACTGAAAGCAGCAGCTTGAGAGAGACCCTGAAGCGCTTGAGGCTGGAGTAATCGCTTCACATTCAAGGTAGGAGTAGCTGTGTGGGGTTTATGGCGACTCTGGGGTATCTGTTTGGGGTTAATGGCGGCTCTGGGGTAGCTGTGCGGGGTTAATGGTGGCTCTGGGGTAGCTGCGCGGGGTTAATGGCGGCTCTTGACATGGTCCTTACATCAATGACCTTTTGGTCATATGGAAAGGAGTTATTGAGAAGGTACAATTTTCTTATATATCTGAATTCCAATGCATGTAGTCTTTGCAGCTAATTCTCGTAACAGATTGACCATTTAAAATGATCAGAAACAAATTCTTACACATCCCTACTGTAAACCATGCTCTGGCAATGCCAGTCTGAGAGCAGATAGCTGTCACCAAATGCACACAATCAAATTGATTCCCATTGGTAAATGTATTTGTGCTAAAAGGAATACCATTCTTGGGGGATTGGGAGACTGGAGGACACAGTGCCTGCCAGGTGTTATCCCATTTGGATATTGCAAAGGGCGTGTAATATTGTGGATTCAAAACCTATGGATGACCTTCTGGTTGACAATCATCTCACCAATAATAAATCAATTAAGTATAGGTGTAAAGGTGAGGGGTTATGTCAATTTAACTACACTGCAGATAGAAAATACAATATCCTGAAAGTAAAATTATTGTTTTAAATAGGAGTAGGTATGTTAAGCAGTATGTTGAATTTTGTGCAGACAGTCTTTTCCTTTACATTTGTACAGTCTGTGGTGCATAGAATGAGGTCCCTACTAGCATTTAGCACCTAATTTTTAATTAAGGTGACCTAATTCAGGACTTGGAAGCAGCACACCCTATACTACTGTCTGAGTTGTATTCATCTAGTACACCTCTTTTGTACAAGAAGTTTGCCATCAAGGAGTTGATCAATTGCAACCCGATGTGTTGCTTATTTAATCAAGTCAGGGATGCAATATACAATACATGGAGTGTGCAACTCAGGCCTTGAAAACTCTTGAACATTTACAAGATTATAGTACCACACAAACGCTTGCTACACAAGCTGAGGGCTATGGGCATAGATGAGGTGGTGTGTACGTGGATATGCTAATAGTGATCACCTCTCAAACATCTCCAAACATTTCTTGACAGCACATGGAGTAGTAACTATGGATTTTGTATTTCAAGGAACAGGAAGGGTAAGTTGTGAAAAGAGAGGCAAGGATCATAGGAAAAAGCTTTGAAACGAAAGGGCTTGTAGATCATGACATTGGACACATTTACTGAAAGGGTTAAATTTAGATAGGGTTTGAACCACTTGAAGACCAGAATGTTAAACCTCCTTCCTGTTCAGGCCATTCTTCAGTATTCAGCGCTAAGGTACTTTTACATTTATTCAGTCATGCTACTGTGCTTAAATTAATTTTATATCATTTTTTGGGGGGACAGACCGAGCTTTCTGAGTTATGTTATGAAACATTGCAATTAAATAATCTTTCTTCATACAATTGTCCAAAATGTTTTCTGATACATTTATTTGATCACATCAGGTAAATAGATATCAAACATGTCAAGCACTAAAATTGCGTGCGCCCGTGAAGTCTCAAAAAAACTACCATACTCAAAAGTGTCCATAGGTGACATTTTAAAAGCGATTACCTCTCATCAATTAAGTGTTAACAGTGATTGATGGCCCTAGAATAATTTTTAGCATTCTGACGTTCACATTCTGTCGTTTTTGCATGTAGGCACACCCTATGCGGGCTTGCTTTTTTGTATGTGCATGTACATGGGGGTAAGGTATTTTAAAAAAATGTTTTTGTGTTTTTTTTTTATTTTGTGTGTGTTTTTTTTACTCTTAACTTTATTGCTATCACATAAGGGGCTAACAAGTCCCCTATGTAATAGGACAGGTACAGTGACAGGTCCTCTTTATAGAGACATGAGGGGTCTTGTAGAGGCCTAATGTCGCCTAGTGACCTGGTGCCAGGTGTTACCAATGATCTGTCTAGGCTGATCAGGTGGCGAAGAGCAGCCTTATTAACCCTAGTTCACACCTAGGCATTTTTGAGCAGTTCGAAAAGCGCTTTGAACTGCCCAACACAAGAAATCCCATGATTTTCAATGGCCCTGGTTCTCACCTGAGCAGAAAAATGCCTAGCAGAAAAACGCCAGATGCCTGAAAACATGCAGGAGCTTCTTTGGGCATTATAACATGATTTTCCTCCCCATAGACTTAATTGGAAATGCCAAAAACGCGCAACAGAAGCATGTTGCACATTTTCGTGAGCGTTTTTTATACGCGCGTTCTTCCATTGTCCACAATGGTTTATGAGCTACCAATCAAAACGCACGTCTTCATGTAGGCATGTTAAAAAGCGCATATAAATGTGCACGACTCGCAAATAACTGCATGCTGCTAACACGCGTATAAATGCACAAAAACAGTGCCGCCTAGGTGTGAACCAGGGCTAAGAGTCTGGACCAGAGCCAGAGGAGTTGTGAGTGTGCAGGAGATACACGGTTGCAAGCAGACTCTAGTGTGGAACAGCCAGGGGGAGGCTAGGAGTGGTCGAGAGGGTCAGTGGCGCCCCAGGGACCTGTTGGACAGACCGAGAGAAGTCAGTAGCACACAGGTGTGTGGTGAGCCGCTTGAAACAGAGAAAAGCTACTAAGTGATACTCAGGAGAAATACATTAAGAGTCCTGGAACTGGGACACTGTGAGTGTACCTGACAACCTAAAACTGGTGAGATATGTAATTTTGCTGAAAGACAAAAGGACTTTATGTTTCTTTATGCTGAAGAAAAGATTATTATTTGAAATACACAGATTGTCGGCCTTTGTGTGAATAAAGAGTTTTCTTTTTATGTAAAGAACAGCTTCAAGAGTGATCTCTTAGTGCTCACCTTTGTGCTCAATATCCCCAACATATTACAATATTAATTGCTATTGGTGGTGTTTCCAATGAGTCAAGAAACACCTATGTGTTTCACAGAATTTTTACATCACCTGCATTTTTCGGGAGACCCTCAACCTTGTAACTGTAGTAGAGCCCCAACACTTCCTTTCCCACCTGTCCTGTATCTAAAAATGATGTTATATTAACCATCCCATTATATATTTTTGTTCCTATTATATATAAACTGTATATTTACTACATATCTTGCCTACCCTTCCATTACACCTACAATTTTCCTTGATCCCTGCTACATCGGGCCTCCTCACACCCAAGAGAGCTGTGGTAGTATCCAAAGGGGCTCCATGCCCTCATAGACACCACCCATGTTCCAACACAAAGTCAGATGCTGGACTGTGAACGCGTGGCTGCTAAACCACACAGGGAGCGAGTTTGGAGTGGTGACTACTTGACAACACACAAAGGGACCATAGGGGACAAAAGTAGCCACCCTCCAGAAGGAAGGACAGTATCAGCACCAGGGCAGCCATCAGAAATTTTGGGGCCCCTTACACGGCTTTAGGCTGCCCCCCCCCCCCACCGCGCCACTGGACGCCGGGCTTAGTGATGCGCTGGACACAAAGCCCTCAAAGCCGCGGGAGCGGCAATGTCTCAAAGCCGCGGGAGCGGCAATGCTGGGGCCCTGCGCTGCTAGGCCAGGCCTCCTCGCCCTTCACCGTCGGCCGATAGTCATGTAAGGGACCTGGGTGCCCCCCCCAGGTTGCCCGGGCCCCTTACATGAGTATCGGCCATACCCCCCTGATGGCTGCCCTGATCAGCACCAATTCAGAGATGATTTGCTGATCTACAGCCGAGTGATACACAAATAAGGTACATTTTTCTCACCGCCTGTAATACATTTTCTATCCTCGGGTGACCACGGTCACTTACCATACTGTATCTATTAAGGAACAGCATTGTCACCCTAGGGCAGGGAGTTTGGACTACAGCTAACCTTCTCCATAAAATTAAGGGGATGTGTTCTGTAGTTTATAGACTGTAAACTGGGTAGGGCTGATAAAAATACCTTGATTTCAGTGCAGCAAAGGCAGTCATTTACCAGCTCACTGGATTTCAGGAAGAATCAACAGGTATTATTCTATACTCATGGGTTTTCTGAAGGGAAAAACATGGAGAAATATGCATGTAACGGTGAACTTAATTTTAGTTGAAATTTTCCCCCGAACATACTTAAAGGAATACCTGGTACTGTGAATTATAGCTTTAACGTTAATTATAACTTTAATTTATCAAGTGTTTGACAGAAGACTATATTTGTTAATATTTTCTATCCTTTTCAAGTGTTCTGTTTACTTGTACTCATTTAATTCATGTATTTAATGGTCTCTATGTAGCGTATTGTTGCAAAACTGTTGCTATGACAAAGTTATAAACACACATTGTGCATCTGTCTGCAAAAACTCATTGTTTACTTGCGCACTTCTTTATGTGTGTTTACCTTAGAGTGTACTATTGTTTTTGGTATCTTTGTGTAGCGCTATTCTGACTGATCTTCATAAATGTTGATCTTCAGCTGACAAATACTGCAGCTTCATTGCACATGTCCTAAGCCCACTTATTTGTCAATAAGACCCTAGTCACATTCATCTCAGAAAATTATTCTTGTCTCAGGATGGAAGGAAGATGGGCACAAGTCACTTGGTGGTTGCATTCGTTTTCAATTTTATTTTTTTCTCACCTGGTAACACACTTCCTGTCTTAAGGTGGCTTCATTCTATAGAGGAGCAATAAAGCCACCCTTGGACAGCAGCATTGAAAACCTGTGAAGGGGTAGTGTTAGATGCACTAACAGATTCAGGTGGACTAATAAATTAAAGCCAAACTCCAGCTATTGCTTTTTAATCAGTTACAGCAACCATTGTTTTCAGAGGCGTAACTAGAACCTTCAGGGCCCCCGGTGCAAGAAACCATGAAGGCCCCCCCCCCAACCGCCATGGCACCGCATGTTAACAGGAAGGCTGCTGAGGTGCCCAGCAAGCACGGGACCTCAGGCAGCCGCTTGTTTAAAATTCTAGTGCAGTGTTCTGTCGAGAACGCTGACCCAGTATCTGCGCTTGCGTACAGCCGGGATTACCGAGAAAACCGCCATTTATTTACAAAGTATTCGTTTGTAATGGTTAATTGTGACCGTTAATAATATACCATCTATGGCAGTAAATGATGGATGGCAGTAAATGATGGATGGCAGTAAATGATGGATGGCAGTAAATGACGGATGGAATATTATTATCAGTCACAATTAACGATTTTAACGAGATACTTTGTGAATAAATCCCGGTTTCCTCGATAATACTGGTCTGTGCGCAAGTGCAGATGCCGAGGTCGGCAAATTCGACTACACCGGCGTTCTCGACAGAACACCGGTATCTGCGTTTAGTATCGGGGCATTTTCACGAGTAGGAGTACTCGTGAAAATGCCCAGTATTGGCACTGGTGCATCCCTACTTAAAAATATAATGCATTGCTTGACACCCATAATGAAGAAGGTGGGGAGCACAGTACAGGGGTGGGGCGCACAGTACAGGGGTGGGGCGCACAGTACAGGGGTATGACGCACAGTACAGGGGTATGACGCACAGTACAGGGGTATGACGCACAGTACAGGGGTGCGATGCCAGGCAGACAGGGGCAACCAAAATTAATAAAGGGTCTACTGGTCCCCCACTGTACAGACTCGACTGTGATATTTACATATGAATGGGTGGCACTATTTAAATATGAATAACTCCGCCAGTGAGTGTTTTGCTTTTGGGACAAAGGT